AGAAGTTAAACTCGTAATTACTACCGGGTGGATAGTGTAAATAATAAGACCAGTACACACACATACAGCATGTGGACACACATGAATTGCATCCATTGGAATCATTTGGTAACACATGAACATTTTAGAGCTCCTTTTGTTCGTGCCCCTCCCTTGTGACCAGGTTATCATTTAATTTTCATTTATATCAATTAGTGCGATAAACGAGGTACACATGGCTAGTGAGGTTATCATCAGTATATTGGCAAAACATGTCGAACTAATCAATTTCATCTTCAAGTTTTCTATACTTATTGATCCTCGATAACATATGCTCATTTATCAGCCTAGGATTCTGGCATTTGAATCTAAGAGAATTATGACATGTCGTAGTGAAAGAAGGTCCTGAGGTAATGGACGATAATAAGATGAAACCTGCCACCAAATGAAATAGGACTCATATTACGGGCCTTCTCATTCGGCTAATTTGGTTCCTTTAACCTTCACCACTTGCTAATTTTCTCGTTGTGGGGTATGCGATAGACTTACCTCCACGTGGTGCACTCTGGGCAACGACGATAGACTTACCTCCACGTGGTGCACCCTGGGCAACGTACTTTCTTACGGCAAAAATTCTATCACTCGGCATTCGTTTTTCCTCATACGGCAAAAAAGTCTATTAACCGGCAGTTTCTTCTCACTTCAAACTACCATGACCCCCCTATATGTCCTACATTCTCATACGGCAAAAAAGTCTATTAACCGGCATTTGACATGACTTCAAACTACAATCACCCCACTGTATGTCAAATTCGACTACTTGACTTCAAACTACCATCATCCCACTCTATGCCATATTCGTAAATTCGACCACTTCAACAGTACTCATCTTACCTTTTCTCTTCGACTTCTCACTTCAAACTACCATCACCCCACTGTATGTCAAATTCGACCCCTTCCACAGTACTCACCTCACCTTTGCTCTACTGTCGACTTCTTCCACAGTACTAACCTCACCTTTTTTCTACCTATTTCTCACTTCAAACTACCATCACCCCACTGTATGTCATATACCTCTGACTTCAAACTACCATCACCCCACTGTATGTCATATTTCACCACTTCCACAGTACTCACCTCGCCTTTTTTCTACCTTCAGTTGACTCTGACCCCACTGTATGTCATATTCGACTATGGCAGTTTTCTTCTCACTTCAAACTACCATGACCCCCCTATATGTCCTACATTCTCATACGGCAAAAAAGTCTATTAACCGGCATTTGACATGACTTCAAACTACAATCACCCCACTGTATGTCAAATTCGACTACTCCACCTCACTCTATGTCATATTGGACTATACTATCGGCAAAAAAATTCTATTAACCGGCAGTTGACTTCTGACTTCAACGCAAAAAGGTCTATTAACTGGCAGTTGACTTCTCACTTCACAAAAAAGTCTATTAACCGGCAGTTGACTTCTGACTACTCAAACGGCAAAAAAGTCTATAAACCGGCAGTTGACTTCTGACTGAAAAGGTCTATTAACTGGCAGTTGACTTCTGACTTCAAATAAAAGTCTATCAATCGGCAGTTGACTTCTCACTTCAAACTAAAGTCTATTACCTGGCAGTTGACTTCAAACTACCATGAGTAAGTCTATTAACTGGCAGTTGACTTCTGAGTTCAAACTATCATGACCCCAAGTCTATTAATCGGCAGTTGACTTCTGACTTCAATTACCATGATCTATTAACTGGCAGTTGACTTCTCTATGTCATATTCGAAGTCTATAAACCGGCAGTTGACTTCAAACTATCGGCAAAAAAATTCTATTAACCGGCAGTTGACTTCTGACTTCAACGCAAAAAGGTCTATTAACTGGCAGTTGACTTCTCACTTCACAAAAAAGTCTATTAACCGGCAGTTGACTTCTGACTACTCATACGGCAAAAAAGTCTATTAACCGGCAGTTGACTTCTCACTTTGAGCTACTATGGCCCCACTGTATGTCATATTCGACTACTTTCACAGTTCTCAATTACCTTTCCTCTACCTTTGTGTCTGTCTGTCTCTTTTACATCTTTGGAACGCTCTTCAGTTTCCACTCTCCCTCTCTACTTTTTTTCACTTTGATGTGAAGCCAAAGTCAACTAAAGTCAAAACGCTTGCCATTTGATATAAATAAATTTTATTGTTTTTCACAATTTTCAATCGACATTCTCGCTAATGTCGACACAATTTGAAGCAAATTAAAGTGAACGCGTGCTCTTAGGAAAATGACCTATTGAACTTGATAACCTAATTCAATTTCGGCATTGAAAAAACATTGAAATATGACCTCACTAGCTGGCATAATTTTTTCTAGACTAAATTTCCTTATAAAAAGTATTTGGCTCACATAATAATCATAACTTAAACCCCATTCAATATTCATTTCAATCAAGCAAAGGCAAGGTTATTTGATCTCGAAAGAAATAATAAATTGCCTGAATAATATGTATATATAATGCATACTGACCAATTTTTATGAAAAAGAAATCTTTTAATGATTCCATAGTGACAAGATTAGAACTGAGTACTTATAAATTAGTGACGCCAATTCGAACAGTTGGTGATAATTATAGTAGCCACCATTTTAATCATTTAAAACAAACAAAAAAGCCAAACAGCTACTCATTGCTGAAAACAAAATTGAAATAGATATTAACCTCAAGAGAGATCGCAGTTTGTGTGAATATACAAATAAAATCACTTGGAGGGTGAAGAAGTTTGGGGGAGGGGTGGTCAAGGCTGACAGTGGGGGTGGGGGAGGGTGGTGGAGAGAAGAGGCGCTGAGGAAGAGGAAGAAGGATAAAGTATCCTATTATTAGCAAAGAGGTCTTCCACACTGTCACTGATTTTTCCTCAATTTAAATTTATTTCCAGGAAAAAGGCTATTAATGGGAGAACAAGTGACGCGATGCAAAGCCGAGAATTTAAATGCGGACGCAAAAGCACAAGGTGGATGGGTGGAGGGAGGAAGGGAAGGTGAATAAAATTTGGAAATAGAATTGGCAAAGTGAAATGAGGAAGAAAACTGAAATTTTGTAACTAAGGGCATGCAGTAATCGGCTGACTGGATGCATCAGTGGTTCTAGTATTCCCGGGCGCCTGAGAAAAGAAGGCCTCATTAGTACTAGATGTAGAGATAGTGGAGCTGTCCGTGTTCTTTGAGGGAGAATTATTCGGCGTATGACTAGCATGAGCTAATGACATATTATGTCCAGAGTAATTAGATGGCGAGGGTGTTGTTATCAACGGGGTCGTAGTGGAAGGAGTAAAGTTGCCTGACTGATAAGATGTATCTCCCCAGGTGTGATGTTGGTGATGATGATAGCTATTCAAGGCAGGGCTTTGCAAATGAAGGCCTGGTGATGAATGCGTATGTTGTGTCGTGGAATTGAAGTAGGAACGTTCACCAGGAAGTGCAGCACGCCAAGCGCTGACCGGTGAGAGGACTGGAAGAAGATCCAGTGGAGTTGGAAGACTTGCATTTGCAGACGATGAGGACAATTCTGTTGTGGGATTATGATGTTTTATTAAGCCCTGGAACTTTCTATGATTACAGCTGAACCAAGAATACTCACCTTTACTTTGACAATTTGTAGACCGAGAGGGCACATTGTAGGAGCTAGGGGGATTATAGATGAGACCAGAAAGAGGTGGTTGTGAGGTCTGTTGGGGTCGAGTGCAATTCATTGCGAACATCTTCGCCGCGGCATAACTGATTTCTCGCATTTCTTTTCCCTATAGAGGAAGTTAAACGTTTTGAAAGTTATTGATTTAGGGAGTCCGAGCTTGGATTTAGACAGCCCAGCCGCCATGGTTTGACAGCTCTAATTGTTTCTCACACCCATGTTCGATTATTTCAAGATGCATAACTCTTCGGTTTTCCAATTAGTGGACGAACTTTCTCCCCTTACTTCATCGTTTTGCATCTTCTGTTGCTAACGGAACTAGGAAAGGCTACATTCAAACCAGTTCTCCCTCTTGCGTTAGTGACACCTAAGGCATAGCCATCATCTCAGCACAATCAATATATTCCTATCCCGTGCCATTTATTTCACTTATTTTTAGTCTCTTTTTCGCTAAATAATATAATTCCTAAGTGACATTAACACTCATAACAGAAATTTTTGCGCTAAAGAAATCTTTGTGAGCTTTCAAATATCGAATTCCGCTAAACTTATTTAAATAGATTAATTACTTCTCAGCACTGTTATATCCATTGAAACTGACTAAATCCAAGAACTGCATTTTCTTCCTAATAACTATTTGGAAATGAAATCTAAGCTGCCTAGAAATCTGGTAACTCGTGTGGGAAAGAAGTTGGCAGTTTGCTTTTAGAGCCACACGTGTCCCGACTGAGTGATGTCTACAAAGTGGGCAACTAAAGAGGAACTACTGACATCATGTTTACCTATCCATATCGAGTCCACACAATCTTCCTGTTTTCATTGAAACTATTAGCACCTAAGTTATTATGTCCATCTAATGGGATATTAGTAAGAGACCATGGAGGAGTAAATCGAGGATGAATACGCGATAGTATGAGGTGGATGAGATAAAATCGCAAACCTATACAGGGCGATTGGAAAGCAACACTGCACAAATTCATTGAAGCTGAAATATTTCAGAGGTTGTAAGTGTTTTATGCTAGTAATATTTCATATCCCGGGGTGTGCGATAGACTTACCTCCACGCGGTGCACCCTGGTCAACGTATATTCATACGGCAAAAAGTTATATTAACTGGCAGTTGACTTCTCACTTCAAACTACCATCACCTCACTCTATGCCATATTCGACTATTTACACAGTACTCACCTCACCTTTGTTCTACCTTTGTGTTTGTCTCTTACAATTTTGAAACACTCCTCTGTTCCCCCCCCCCCTCTCGACTTTTTTCAATTTGATGTTCCTTCCCTTCTGTGAAGCCTGAAGTCAACCAAAGGGCTAATGATAACCATCAAGACGCCTGCCATTTGATATAAATAAATAAATAATATTTCATATCCCCGTTATACTTTTAGAAATGGAGCAGTTTATGTGGGATCTTATTATTAAACAAAATTTTAGCCTTTATGTTATTTTTTCTTCTGTCTCCTTGTTATTTAAACAAAATATATTTGACTCTTAATTGTTAAATTGCCTGATATTTCAGATGGCGTTTAATTTTTGAAAACCATACACTTTCAGTGACTTCAACTCTTGCCGCCTTCCCCAAAAGTAATTGAATTGTTGTGGTTAGTGGCTTCTATTTCGTTTGGTAGGTGTACACTACCGCGCTACCTCATATAGGAAAAATAGAGTTGAAAGAATTACATGTTTAACCATTTTGTCAAGAACTTTCCTCAAGGAAGAAAGCAGACGAAT